CCCCCCCCCCCCGCCCCCACCCCTCAGCCTAACTGCATTCCTGTTATTCATACCTGTGCCTTTGACATTTTAATTTCTGACATACAGAACAAATATTCAAAGCTGCATTTTGACTCGAGTCATCAGCCTATAAAAAATTGAAAAACAATAATAAAAGCACTGTACCGGACTCACTCCCATTCGCTCGTGTTGGATGATGGAAATGGGTCAACGCCTAACCCGAGAACGAGCATATTCTCCCTTACTAACGCAAATATAGCAAGGGACTGTGGAAGAGTCAGGTACTGTACTTTCTGGTAGAGCTACTTGTAGGTTTTCAAAAATGTTTAAAAAGCTAAGCTGTTATACATTACTGATGCTTCAAGTGGTTTTTTTTTATTATTTCAATTTAAATCAAAATTATTGTTGAATTTGAATTTTGAATTTCAAATTCAAAAAGATTTTTTTTATTTAAATAAAGAACTTTTTATTTCCATATAGGAAAATAGTACATATTATTATAATAATTTATAATCATTCCATAATAATTATTTTATTTATTCTTTGTCACTTTAAGAGGAGAACTTTTGTATGTTATATAACACACGCTCAAAGCTAATGAATATACTTTTAAAGAAAATTATATCTGAACCACAATGAGCCACAATGCACACCAGTGCGCCCTACTTATTTTTTACTTGTCTAATGCCAGGCGATTTTACTCATCAGTGGGGAAGCTCTGTAGCTTAATGGGTTAAATTGACAATATTTAACTATTACTTTGTGTGCCACATCACACAGTTATTGTTTTCAAGCTCTAAACTGTCACTTGTGTGGGTGGTGAAGTTGTCTCATTAAAACTTTCTATATTTACCATATGCAAAAAATTGAATATCAAATGAATATATTTGAAATAGTGATGTTTGTCGAAAATAATGATATATCGCACCAGCCTAGATACGCTACCTCAAAAATAACAGCAGACAAACTAACAGTAAGGACAAACTTTGGCAAATTTAACATAAGGTTTCATTGCCCTGAAATTTGGAACGCAATGTAAGCAAAGTAAAGTCTCCTAAATCTATATTGATTAATTAATTTAATTTAACAAGTTTAGAACATATGTGTGGTTTATTAAGTCTTTATTATGTTTCTGTTCTCAATTTGTGACATTGTTTATGTTCACTCAAAATAATAATATTAAACAGATTTAAATTGAGGACGCAGACGTCAAAGATGACGTAAAAATGGTGTGGCATATCCGTACATGGGCACAACACGCCATTTTCAAGTTGTCTTTGACATTCACATCCTCAATCTAAATCTGTCTAAAATTGTATCTACAGGAGTTTACTAGGTAATTTTAATCACAAAGATTACCGTATTTCTAGTGGCCAGCATCCTTAAATATTTATATTTATATTTGCAATATGTATCCACTGTATTTATAAACTTTAGGGAAAAATAAATGTTTTAGTTGCTATTATTGCTATAACAATACCTTTTCACGAGGTTTGTACCAAAACAGAAGGCTGGGGAAAAGTGGCACATTGCTAAAATTGAGAGTAAAAAACAACACTAATCATACAGTATACCGTGTCAATAATGTAGGGGAAGTCTCAATCTTTTCTGGAATACCCCATTGGGCAATACATAAGGGGCTAAAAACCAACCCATCAAATAACAAGAAAGAATGTTTACCATAAAATTCCATATGCCAGTCCACCTCCTGTCAGAATTGCCCATAGGCATGTTAGTAGACTAAAATGCCTAAAAATGTAAATTCTTAATTAGCAACCGTTAAATACATTTTATCTCAATTCACAAACTTATTGCACGATTGCTTTGACCCGCTGGACACATTTTTCACAGTGTGGATTATTTTCATTGTGGCATGGGGCGGGGCTCTGCCCATGGTGGGCGGCAGCGGCCGGCAGTACCCAGCACTTAATATTACCGCCCAGCACCAAACCAAAACTGACTCTTCCGCCCAGCACAAAAACACGCCAGAAATATTTGTAAACATGAAAATTATCGTCGCCATTTTGAAATTTCTAAATAAAATTTATGTTTCTGAGTACATTATCGCATCTGCGATAAATTTTATGGCATCTACTGTACCACTGTAATGGGTCGTTCCAGAAAAGATCCATACCCCCCCCACGGAGGAAATTTTTGCTGTCCGAAGGGGGAGGGAGGGAAAATGTCTTAGGATGTCCGAAGGGGGGGAGAGGGAAAATGTCTTAGGATGTCCGAAGGGGGGGAGAGGAATGTGGATATGTTTGTCTGAAGGTTTGAGACGGTGATAAAGCCATGTGATCGGCGATTATAATGAGCACGCAATTTTTATCGGCTATATATATGCGGCTATTGAACACCGGAACATTTATGTAACAGCAATAATTATACGTCCACGTAACTTGTAAGCAAAATAAGCGGCCCACTTTTGCATGCATGGCCACCAAAAACTAACTCGCTGTAACAGCGTATCTAGGCTACAGTGTATCCTGCATGTTGAGAATGAGTCGAAAATTGACACGCTTTATTTATATAGTTTGCAGTTTTCGTTCGCCATATATAAGTTTGAATTATTAAAGTGTTAAAAATAATAGTCTGTTATTAAACTGTTGCTCGAATTAAGAGACTGCTATGTGAACTGAACTCAAAACAATTTGTTTTAGTATATAGTCAATAAAGCTTCCTTGCGAGGTGCGTGTCTAGAAAATAGAAATGGCTTTCATATTAAGGGCGAGGTTAAGGAATGCAGTAATACTAAAAAATGTATTAACATGTAAGTAAACACAGCAACGCTTGTCAATCAGTCGCAAGTTACATCGAATATTTTCAGTCCAAATTTTACTTGAACGAATTTCGAAGTGAATTTCTGCAAATTATCCGACAAAACCTGCCACGTGTTTGTGTTCGCAAGTCACAAGAAGCCGCCAAGTGTTCCGCCACGCCGGAGCTATTTGAGAACAGCGTAGAAAAGTCACAATAAGCCATCGCTAATTCACTCAATGCTGGAGCGAAACCGTAACAATTTGAGCACGGTTTCTTAACGGAGCAAGGTGAAAACGGCGGAGCGCTTGATAGCTTCGTGTGAACACAAACGTGTAAACTCGAATGCTTTTCAGTTAAATTTCTTGGGTCTATTTGAAATATTTTGGGTTTACACGAGTGCTAATTCAATTTGTAAACAAACTGTAATGGCGTAGTGTGAACACACATAAATTCGGCCCGCATTAGTTCGCTCGCGCGTAGTGTGAACGTAGTCTAATTTTGGGTGACGTTTTCAAACGGCAAGGTAGCCTTTAGAAAAATTTAGAAATGGTGGATGTCCAAAGGGGAGGGGGGTAATTTTGGGCTTTGATGTCCGGAGAGGGGGGGAGGATGAACCATTCAAGGATGTCCGAAGGGGGGGAGGGGGTTATTTTCGATTTCCTCCGTAGGGGGGTATGGATCTTTTCTGGAATGACCCAATGATTAGAAATTTACAAATATTTCATGTATACAAATACCTGGCAGTCTCATTGTCCTGGGCAGAACCCTGGTGGGGTAATGCTTGAATGCAAATGGTAATGTCGGTATCGACAAGTATCCGCCCTTGAATATCGGTTGTCGGAATTTCGGTAAATGGACCCAGAATTTAAATTTTGATGCTGAGATTAGTGTGCATCCAAAATTTCACATTATTTGGATAGTAAAAGTCATGAGTTACAATGCTTCAAATATTTAGATCTAGAATAAGATCTATAATTTTATTTATAATTTGATCTATAATATAGATCTATAATTTTATATTTCACTAGAATTTGCTGCAGCAGAGGAAATTTTTGTAAAATGTATAAAACGAAAAACCAAATTCTGAAAGTTTTATTAACCCATTGAGCCACAATGCACCCCAGTGTGCCCTACTTATTCTTTTTCCTTGTCTAATGCCAGACAATTTTACTTGTCAATGGGGAAGCTCTGCAGCTTAATGGGTTAAGAGCTCTAGTTAACCCATTGAGCCGCAATGTGCCCCAGTGCACCCTACTTATTTCTTTACTTGTCTACCGCCAGACGATTTTACTCGTCAATGGGGAAGCTCTGCAGCTTAATGGGTTAATTACAACCTGACTGTCCAAACAATGCAAAATGTCCAAAAACTTTCGAAATTTTGGGTAAAATTCTGGTATCCAATCCATCGTAGAATTGTCGAATATTTTGCTAAAAATAAGCATTATGCAATATTTTGCATCAATTAATCATACTTGAGAATCACTTAATAAATCGGACAGTACGATTGAAATAACAATTGTACATCTCAGATCTGTCATATCTTTTCAAAATTGAGTCCCTACTTCATTTGAACCAATGCTTTTCCTTTGGTCCTTTCAAATCATGGCATTCATTATCACAAACAAAGTGTTCCACTCAAAACTTCAAAAGCTCAAAATACCAACAAATACGGATTATTTCACCGCTATTACACACTGTTCAAAGCTTACCTAAACAGCAAACAGCTGAGAATTAGCAGCGTGAAAAACGACCCAATAAGTATCGGCTGTATGCCCAAAACTTCGCGAACTATTTCTTCTTTTTCTTTGTTTCTCAAGTTCGCCATTTTTTAAACTCAGCTGCGCGTGTACTTCCGCGTTCGTCTCGCGCGGTCTTCACGCGAGACGCGTGGCTAAGCGTCTTGGTCACAGAATAGAGACTGATGGATACAGAAGGCCGACTTATGATCAGTGTTCATAATTCGCAATAATTCCGCATCAAAATTAACTCGCCATTTCCTAGCCAGTGTGCTTACGAGAAGCATTCACCCCCCTGACCATCCGTCATTTTGAATGTTTTCAGGGGGGCGAATGCCTATTGCAAGCGCACAGGCTAGGAACATAGCGATGGTTACGCCAAAATCAGGAGCAAAATCAAGAAGTCGGCCTTCTCACTTCTCTTCTGTCTTGGTCTTTACATTTGTGGCGAATTTTTCCGCACAAAGAATTATTTCTACTGTATTATAAAGAATCTCTTATCAATAACAACAGTCAATACTTTGAGTAAGTTTATTTGTTGGGAACAATTTTCTTTCAATTTATATTAAAAGGGAACTTTTGCCCCAATTGGAAGGGCAGGAGGGGTACTTTCCCCCTCACCTCCAGCGCCCCCCACCTCCTGAGGAGTATCAGCTCATGACATACAGTATAAGGGCGACGTTTGAAGTATCGCTAAGAATTGTGCCAAATTGTACTCGCTTTGTGGCCATAGATATCTGTTTGTGGCTCACGAAATTTTAGCAAAATAATAGGGAAAAAAATCAAGCACTGGCTAAACAAAATGGCGTCCGGTTGTTAGAAAAATTTAAAAAAAGTTTAAAAAAAAGTTAAAATCGACCTACCCTACCTAAATTTTTACGAGAGGAAATAGGAAACCCACATATTTTTTGGCCTAACAAAACCTCAGGCACAACTGCTCAAATTTTTTGCTATTTTATTGATAGTCACCCTTTACATGTAAAAACTAAGTAAATACATCATATCGTATTAACGAAAATATGTTAGCTAGTCAACAAAACAATGCAGTTTTGCAAGTACTACTACCTTTAATGCATGCATGGATTAAGTATATTTCAAAACAAGATTAAACTGGTTTACGACAAGTAATATATATAACGTTTGCCCACTACACATAAACTCCATGTGATGTTTATTAATGTTGGTTTTTTCTAACGTCCAATAGCATCGAGTTCACGGGCAAGTTGGCACGAGACGCAAGGCGAACAAAAGTTCACACACAATGCATCATTACACATCGAACCCTGAAATGTAAAATTAAAGTTAAGTTAGTAGAAATAGTTTTGGTGGGACTTATAATTAGCTTTCTCCGCCATTTTGGGGGTCTCCCACGTTTGAGAGTCTCCGCACCACGAATTACAACTTTTAGTATTATAAGCCCCGTTTACACTACGCTCAATTTTTGGTACGGTACGGATAAAATTGGTACCCGTACCACTTTTTTGGTTATTAGACTACCTATTTAGGTAGTCCAAGAACGAAAAAGTGTGGTACGGTACCAAAAATTGAGCGTAGTGTAAACGGGGCTATAGTCTAGTATGATGGTAAATTTACAGTTACAACTTTTATGGCCTGCGAACAGTCCAATGAGAGCCTGTTCGCATGCTACAACTTTTAAAAGTCGCTTTTCACGTTGTTTGAATTGCCGGTCTAGAATCTTTCACAAGGGCAGACAGTACCCCAAAAATGGCGGATTTTGGCCTTCGTGAGAAAGGCTAAATTTAAGATCCGTTGTCCTTTTCCTTTAATATATGTTATTGATTGCAAAGTTAATAAAAAAATAACGGAAGAGTGTTAAGTTTCACTAAAAAAGTTTCTGTGATCACAGTAGGAATTTTGCATAGGTAAATTCTAAGTTTTGAAGGGTTTGTAGGAAACGTTTGAGAGAACTGACTCCAGGACATTTTTTAACTATTTAACTACTGGGACATTTACCCCAGTAGGCCCTTTACTTGCCCCAGTAGTGAAGCAATATTTTCAGACCAGCTGGGCCCTTTTGATCATTAGTAAAAAGTCATCCTTGTTGAAAAGCTGCATCTGCCTGCTTTCTCATATCCTCTCACATTCTCGACATTCCATCTTATAAAAGTCAGCACAAAGTTATGCGTACTCAAAAAACTCATTAATAATTCAGGAGCAAAACACAAAGAAAAATCATAAGCGTGTCGTGGTTTTATATGTGATAAAAAATCATTGATTTTCTCGGTTTAGACAAAGTTTATTTTAAAAATTACTTCGCCAATGAACTCGTATAAGATGAGTCGTTTTTTAAGCTATTTAATTTAAAGCACTCGTAGTCGTGTTTTATCACATATAAAACACTCCGCTACGCGTCGTGTTTTATATGTGATAAAACACTCCTACGCGTGCTTTAAATAGTACATAAAGACCATGCTGTGGGGAAAAGGCCGTCATTGAGCCTTTAGCCCCAGTAGTTGTAATTTCTTAAAAAATGCCCTGACTGCGGACTCGGTGTTTAACGCATCATAGCGCTCGCGTAAGGAATCCAAAAACTTTAAACATCTTATGCTTTGTCATATGCAGGGACGCCGGAGCGGTAGAAAGGCAAGGGGGGGCAAACACACACCAAAGGGCACCTCTGTAGACCCCTGTGAAGATATAAACCTACAATTATGTGTTGACTTGCCAATGAAAGCAAACGCACTTAATCAGGTCACATTCAAGATCACACCTCATGGTTTTGCCCATGCAAAAAGCATCACTGGAAGAGTGATTTATCAGGTAGTATTTTACAACTCAAAGAGCACTTCTGCCCCCCCCCCTTGCCCCTCCTAGCAAAAGGCAAGAGGGGCAGCTGCCCCTCCCCCCCCCTCCCCTCCCAGTTCCGGCGACCCTGGTCATATGTGTTGGAGATTTCCACAAACAGACACAGTATTTAATCCAGTGGGGACTTGTTGGCAAAAACGTCGTTTGCTTAGCTCCCCAGTATTGAACCACGAACCTGAATGCCATTTTCCGCCCTCAACTTGACACGCATTGCGAGCAATGCTCCAGGGCAGCATATTGGGAAACAACATCCTTCACCCATACGCTGAGAAAGACTGATCATGAAACAACATGGACAGCAAAGGCCAAACAAACCTAAAGTGAAAACATCCAGTTCAATCAATACACTAGCCACACTCTGGGGAATAAAGGGTTATTCTATGCCGGTCAACAGTGTTGGCCGTGAAGAGGCAAAACTATTTTAAAATTGGTCGCAACCAACCTAGTTCCTTGGCATTTTCGCTTCTGCTTTACCATTTTAAGGTAATTCCGCAGTTTTGCATTGCGCACTTTTACTACGCACATCTTATAACTTATAATTTCATCCATTATACGTACCGTTTAAAACAAAATAGCATTTTATGACAATTTTATGTTACTTCAAAACATCTTTGGTTACATTCGTGCAAAGAATTACGTTAAAATCAATGTTTTCAAAAAAGGCATACAAAAGTGTAGCTAGGGTTCCTGTGTCTGTAGTATATTTATTTACTTGTATTTCACGTTTTAATACCACAATTCCCTAAAAAGATCGGTGACCCCCGTTTTTTAACTGATAATTTATTTCTTTAATGCATTTCACATTTCATATCCGAAATTAAAAAGAAAATCATTCTGGATCTTGAAAAAAATGCTTTGTTAATGCACTATGTTCTCAAAGAAAGATATGTAAAGAAATGTGCAAAAGACATTTGTGGATCAGAATTGTACACGTTAGTAGTTTTATTTTGCTCAAAACACAATATTTTTTCACAAATAATTACAAGATAGGTTTACTAAAGCAAAATACGCGCTAAAAACGTCAATAAATATCGGGCTGTTGTGAGTTTGCTGTTACTCGTAACGAGCGTCAAGATGGCGCCATATTGGGGTAAAGGTGGTATATTGTGATTGTCATATCTTCTTAACGGGTTCGGTGACCCCGACTTTTTTGTGTGATTTTACTTTAAGTATATCATAAACTCCATGCCTGGGAAGTTTCAGCAAGGGGCACTTTCTCATTTGGGAACAATTACTACGGAATTACCTTAATTAAGATGGTATTACTAACCATACAGAGGTCTTACTTCACGAGAGAAACGTAAGGTAGTTCTTAGCAAGTGCCCTAAAGAAAGGCATCCACCCCCCTGGAAGATTAAATTTTATTATGTGTTCAGGGGGGCGACAGCCTCTCTTTAGGGCGCTTGCTAAGAACATGGCGGACTGGAAAAATCCCTTACGCTGAAATGAATAAGAAATGAGACCTCTGTATGGTATTTACTCTGTGTCACTGGTCAGGGGACTTACATGACTTGATATCTTCAAAACATCCGAACACTCCAGAGGCCCAGTCACGTGGTGCTGCACCTGGCTGACTGGTCACCACTGTGGTAACTTGACTTGTCATTTTTGTAAGCTTAATTTAAAAAATGTCTAAAACAGAATTGAAAAGAGGATCATTTCGTAAACCAGAATTGAAAAGCAGGAAAACTTTGATGTATACTTAAATACTTAAGAGGGGGGCAAGGGGGGGGGGGTCTCATCACGAAATCGCGAAGATCATTTTTTAGATTTCACGAGTCACGAAAAACAAAATTTCATTTTCACGATTTTTAGAAACACAGAAGCGTAACAAAGTCTGAAACCATTTAACGATTTTCTAGACAGCAGAACTCGATGTTAGCACAAACACATTTTACTGACTTTAACCACAGAATAAAGATCAGTACCAGAAGGGCCACTCAGCGGTGCAACATGTCACCATTTTTCTATGCAAAAATATGCAATTGACTGGCCAGGAAGATGGCGGCCAGCCAATACAGCGCGTTTATTGGCCAGAAAATGTAATCGACTGGCTAGGAAGATGGCGGCCAGGGTTGACAGAAACTTCAAAGCTTCCGACATAAGTGGCCCTTCTGTGTGCCTTATTCTGTGCTTTAACATTAGAGCTTACGAGCGTCTTACGATGGTTCTCGAAGTCTACGATGAGGTACGAAGGTATACGACAACGACGGTCACGATGAAACCTCAAGAAAGACAACCGCGGGAAGCAAATTTATCAGGGGCGTAGGAAGCACCTGGAGTTGGGGGGGGGGGCACCGGCTTGTAGGGGCACGATATTTCTCCTGAGGAAAATTTTCCGTCGTATCATACCGAAATTTATGTTTGTGACCTAATTTTTTAAAAAAAATTGTAAATTTCCACACAAAAACGGCACCTATTGTTTTAATTTAGTATTTACAGCGACATTAGCTTCTACAAAAGGGGCACTTTTCCTCACAAAAAAGGGCACTTTTCAACACAAAAAGGGCACTTTTTATCACAAAAAAGGGCACTTTTAGTCCTTTAAAAAAATTTGGGGGGGCACGTGCCCCCCGTGCCCCCCCGCTTCCTACGCCCCTGAAATTTATTATTTTTTCCCCATATTACATTTGATAATATTACATGCAATGTTAATATTAGATATGGGCCGAGTTTTAAACGTAAACATTCACAAGTTAGGGTAAAATATTGGTAAATTCAAGACCCTATAGCTAGCCTTTTAGCTCTTCGCGATTCACTGCACGCATATTAATCACGATTCATGGAATGTAACTAATAGAAAAATAACTAATCATGAGTCACGAAAAACCCTTGCCCCCTTCATATACAGTACGTTTCCCAAATGGGCAACAAGCATTTGGGCAAATATTTGGAAATTGGACAGTTACTCCTAAACTGCTAAAGCAAAGGTGGAAAAATGCGACCACTTTGTCTTTAAATCAGATATCGTATTCGGTCATTTTTTTGGCCGTCTAGAAACTCGAAGATAGAATTTTGACACTTTTAATAGTCATGTAGTTTCTCTTGTGCAAATATTGCGTTGCCGTTAGCATGGAGATTTTGATGCTTGAGCAAACAAGACATCATTAAAATGCCATCTTTTAATCACTAAATTGTCTAAATGTTTAATAATCTATTCAAATGAAAATCACTGTAAATAAATGTTGAGGTTGCCTAGCAGTACAATCAAAGCAATTGCCAACAGAAATAGTTTAGACAGACAATATTTTTTCCATTTGCCTTCAAGAATTTGATCCAATATGGAAATTTTGGCCGCTGTCCCAACATTGGTGAAGTTACTTTTCTACTTCGTAAAACGCAATTTTATAAGGCTTTCTGCGTGGGACACTGTGTATCAAATACTATTAAGACAGTAAATCTTAATTCAACACAGATCTGGAAAATTATTCA